TTTTTTTTTTACACGGCTTCTTCTGGAACCAATCTCCGTTTAAAAACAGACTTAGGTGTATTTTTGCTATCCTCATATTTTTGAATAATTTCACTATATAATTCAAGAGACATGGCCCTTTTCTTAAGACCCATTTTTATAAAAATACATAGTATTTTGTAAATGTACAAAAAGGAAAAAAGCGAACTCGAAATTTAACTGTACAATCACTATTTGTAAGGACAAAATTTCGAACGCTAAAATAATCCTCGATATTTTCGCGTGGTTACTACACAATTATGAATAATTTAATTTCATTAAAAATTGTCATTATTGCAAAAATTTACAAAATAACTTTGAAATAATTTCTCTCTGCAGATCGTGGTTAATGTATAACTTGATTATAAAAATATTTACAGTATTATGAATCCTGAGAATTTTCACGTGATACGTTTCTATAGCGTATAGTGATCTTTAATAGTTCAAATATATTTGATAAATCTCTAAAAAACTTTTTGGTGGATTTTTCTGATGGGAAATCAAAATGGGCTACTAGTTTGTATTAAATATTATTGTATCGATATCAATTCGGTATTGATCTCAATGTTGTTGTTGATATTGTTGAGATATGAAATTTTAACGTTACAATAATACTTTTTTAAATTTAAATTAATATATAATTAAAATGACTAATATGAATTTAAATCTCACCGGCTGTTGATATTAGCCTCAGCCATGCACGTGGCACCGACGTTGTCCACCCCTGGTCTCCCTTAGTCGTAGCCATTTGCTCGTTGCCACTACTGCCGTTCGATAAAACAAACCCTTATCTTCAGCACAAAAACTGTCCACACGATTTAAAGCATTTTTAAGGTTAGAATTGTCTTAAGCCGGTTATTTGATATCGACACGGTTTTTTGTGAAAAGAACGGATTGTCACCGTTTTCGAATTGTAATAAAGAGCATTTTAGTTTAAAAATTCTGGTTAACTGTCATGTACCAGAGGTACCAACTATGCATGAACAATTAACCAAATTTTATGTGTTGATTTCTGTCGGGATCACCAACTGCTTTATTTAAATTTAAATATAAACTCTTTAAGAAAATTTATTTTTACCACAGCGCGCATTCAAAAATCTATTTTGATCGAACTTATTTTAAACACGACCATTTAGACGATATAACCTAAAAACATTTCTTTAGGTTTCTTGATTTTTATGAATTTTTATGACTTATAACTGCCTTTGAAACTAAGTAACACTAAAAAGAAAAATATGATGTAATTGGTGTTTTAGTTGTTTGTTATTTCATTATGAAAATTGTTTATCAGAGCTACATTTTTGACAAGAAATTTCACGAGATAACAACGCACAGCATGCAGAGCGCAAGCGCGGTTACTAGTACGATACTATCAAATAGTAGATTGCTTTTACGAGAAATACACAGAAACAGTTTATAATATTATACAAGCGCGCATATATATACACAGGATCGAACTCATTTTTTTCAATGACCGGCCGTTTTTTTATTGGGCTCTCCAAGTATCGAATGTTTTATTCTAAATTATTCCTGAAGTGTTGGAAAATTTATGTTATAAAATAAGAACACATTCCTAGAACAACTAAGAGCAACCAATATTCCAATATCCTTTGCAAAGCCAGCATTTTACAAATAAAAGGTTTAAAGCACAATAAAAAAATTGTATAATAATATGGTCGAATATTTAGAAATCTTCCAAAAACTGGACATTGTAGATTTTGACTATTTTTAATTTTGTGGATTAAAGATTTTTGTCTTTGTTAACATAGAATTGCTTTAATGCAATTGCAAATGCATAAAACAATTTAACAAAGGGTCTGATCGTGTTTCCATACAGAATTGGCCCCACTCTCGTATTTAAATGATTTTGATGCCTTTATAGCTTTTTGATTTTTATAGCTTTTTTCGAAAAAATCCGATATACCAATTTTCAACCCCCTAGCATAAGAGAAACGAATAGCCATTCTAATGATGCTAATTAGTCCAAACAACCGTGCTACCCAAAAATTTTGAACAAAAAATTGTATTCACTTTTTTTTATAAACTAACAAATGATTATTTAATAATATTTGTTATTAATAATATAGTCCACACCGATGTGAGTAGAATGGCGTTATTTGTTTGTCGATATCTTTTACAGTTGTAATTGATATATGATAGTTGAAAATTGGTATATCGGATTTTTTCGAAAAAAGCTATAAAATGGCATCAAAACCATTTAAATACCAGGGCGGGGCCAATTCTGTATGGAAACACGATCAGACCCTTTTTAACTATAATATCAATTAGTGGCATTTTGAGTTGTGACAAATTGCATGAACTTCCTGATAAGTGTAAATAATCGATTTAATTAATGATATATTGTTGATTTATATATGATATATCAATCGTCCTGCCTACGTCCCTACCTGTCTACTTGTAAAACTATTCCCATATTACAGTCTTTTACCTGTTTATCAATCTATCTGTTTACCTGTCCTGTCTGTCCACATTTTCACCTACCTGTCTACCAGTCGATATGCTTGCCTGCCTTCTTGTTAACTTGTTGACGAGCCTGCCTATTCTACCAGTCTCTCTACTTGTATATCACTCTACCAGTTTATCAGCCTACCTACTTTTTTCTACTACTCTACTTTTTTACCCGCCTGCCTCTCTATTTCTCTGCCTATTTCCAAGTAATTTTATTTGTAAATGTATCAGTAATTATTATTGGTAAAGATCATATTTGACCAACCAAATGTCATTTTTTTAAATATAGAAAACCACTGGGCTTGCTTTTGCAAAAATGCCATCAATCAGCACAAGTAAAATATTTTTTGAATTTTTTCATTAAAATCGGATGCTCTGTTTTCTGAAATCTGCTATTTTTTTACTTTTTGCTCCGTATCTCCGAAACGACGAATCGAATATTTTTTTAACCATTCAAACCGGGTGATCCGTGCGCCCGAAATCTTTATCAAAAATTTGTATCCACTCAAAACACGTACACACACATGCATCTCTTTTTTCTAAGGAATGTTCTTGACACGTAAAGGTATGCAAAAATTTTCATTTTCGATTTTTTTACGACTTACCCTATGGGAAATTAAAAACGTATTTATTCAGATTTTAAATATTCTAATTACATTAAACAAAAATCTGGAAAATAAGATCATTATATAACTAAAAATATATGAGATATACAAAGTTCTCAAAATGTACCCAATGTTCGTGATGATAAGGACTCTGAAATTAAAGAATGTTTTGCGACATCTAAAAACTTTTCTCATATAATCATATTTTGGCAGGAATTCCTAAGTATTCAAATTTGTAATAATAATAAATAAGTACACCAAAAAATATATACTTCAAATATAACCTAGTACAAGAAGCGGTGTTAGGATTATGTTTAAGAGGCCACCTTCATTTTCGCCACATTGAATTACTAATTGAATTTTCAACGACATGTTACATAAATTAAAATTTAAGAATTGATGGTGAATGATGTGTGTTATATTACCAATCTCTGTAGCATGTTGTTAGATATATAAATTATATAATATATTGAATAAATATAATCATCTCTACAAAAATATATATATAACTTAAAATAACTGTTTTTTCTCTATTTTTTAGGTAAGTTTTGAACATCAAAAATATTAATGGAACGACTTCTATGTTCTTTGAACGTATATTGAGGATGAAGTTTCATAAAGTTAAGTTTATGCTGCTACAATTCACCAACTTATTTTTAAAATTATGTTACTAGTTGAATACATATTTAATTTTAAGATGACTTAGTATTCTTAATTTTTTGCATTTTAATTAATCAAATATTCATTTAGTCTTTTTTTTAATAAAAATTATTAATTTATAAAGTATATTTCCATAAAAATTATTAAATTATTACTTACATAATTATTAATTATTTTTATAAAATGTTTATAAATTGTTGCATGTGACTCCGCATATGCATGAAACCATATCCATATTCATGCATATAAAATGCATTCTGTTGATTCTAGTAGTTGTTATCAATTAACGGATAGAAATTGCATGCCAAGCATCATATTCCTGGACTTTGTTACTAAACAATGCAAAAGAACAAAGGATATAAATATTTGAATTTTCGTGGACAATGCCCGATCTTCTTACAATTACTTGTTTATTAACGAGAAAAACTTTTATAGAAGGAACAATACATAGTTTATAGTATATTGAAATCTTCAAATAAACATTTCAAACATATTTCGAGGTAGACAATGAAATGAAAGATATAAACATTCTCTATATTATATAACATCCAATGTTTATACAATTAGTTGTTTATTAACGGACAATGCTCTTATAGAGTGAATAATAGACTGTTTATATGGTATCAATATTTTATTTCAATCTTCATCAAATATACATTTCATAACATATTACGAGCTATGAGAATATATTTGTTTTATATACAAGTAAATAATTCAACAAGTTCAATAAAACTTTAAACTTATTATATAACTCATGTAAATATATACGCGATAAAATGGTTTTCGATTGATTACACATTTATATAAAATAATTTGTTTAAATCATGAACTATGAATATTTGTTAATACATAACAAAATTCAAAAAATGACACATTCGATTTTCTCACTCTCACTATATAATTTATTATTATTATTTCACATAATTGTAATATTTTCATCCTAGGACAAAATTTGAGTTCCTTGAAAAATGATCATCTGCAAAGTAAGCTTAACTTGAAGATCGTGGATTGCGGAAGTAATAATATTTCATAAAAAATATAATAGAGTTATTATAAATTTTTAAGGACAATTTAGTAAATTTTAATGCATCCGTATCTATACCAAACGTACAACGTTAGTTAAAAAATTATCGAAACATTGATTTCATTCAACCTATGCTAATAGATATGATACAACTAAAAATGATACTATTAACTTGCTTAGTCTTTCAAATGTTGTTATAACAAGAAACTCAAATAATTGTCTTCGGATTTTGAGATTCCGCTTTAATAAAAAAATCTTAATATTAATTATTTTAAAAATGTTCAATAATTTATTGTTCACATATTTATTTATCGGAAAATAGCGTTGCACATTTCACTATTCTTGCGATTAAGGGCGTGCGTTTTTCCTGGTAATTTGTTAATTCGGTAAGTCGCCTTTCGCAGACGATGTTTGCTACCTGGTATACGCTCGATTTTGAATGTATTATGTCTGAAAATGATATTATAGATATTCAAATTATCCAAGTTTATTGTGATATAATAATAGCTTTGATATAAATTAGCCACACGTTATTATACATGACGCCATGTAAAAAAATAGGCGGGCAGGGCAACAGTTGTCTCGGAAAAGAGTATCGTTTCCAAGGTACTATTTCATTATGTAAAGATATAGTCCAGTCATTTAAGCTTAAATTAGGTAAGAATCTTGGAATTCGAGATACCTAGCCTAGATAGAATGGGTACACCCTACCATATGTAGGTTTTGAGACAACTTTTAGGGTGCTATTTTAGGGTATTTACAGACTTACAGCTGTGTATCTCGAATTCCGAGGTGAACTTACTATAATGACTGGACTAATAAGTAATTCATAAAAACACTATTTTTGCAACTATTATATTTTCTCGTGTAAGTTCAAATTTCCATAGATTCTTTGCCCAGAAGCGCTTATACGTGCATTTAATTTTTTTTTTTTCAAAAATTATTTATAAAAGCCATACATAAATCCATCAGTTTTTCATAGATTCTTTGTCCAGAAGCGTCTGTATGTGTATTTAAGGCGATTGTTTAAATAATTTAGGCAAAACTAAGTATTAGGTCAAGGAAAATTTTGAAAACCAAATATTTGACCGCACTGGTTTTGCACACTGTAAGGTAGTTCAATCGTTGTTGACTTCATCATTTCACGAAATGACGAACTTTTATATTTTTCTCATGACCCTAACTCGTGTCAATATCGAATTATTATATTAGGTGGGCAACTAAGTAAGTGCGGATTTTTTTAAGAAAATCAGACATTTTTTTAGTGGGACTAAAGAACTTTATCCTGTAATATGCATAGTCAATTTTGATCAATAACTTTTTGTCATCTTTTAAGCAGCATCATTATCCCACTTTTATGAAACTTCTAGTTTTTATTAGGAAAAAACTGAATCCAGTACAATTATAATCAGTGAATTGTTTACCATTCAAGGAGTTTTGTAAAAATCGGAACAAAAAGTAATTAGAAGGTGTAAAGACATAATTGTATGGTGGATATGGCAAAACATACCAATCAAGCTCCAATAATTTTTGCCGAGTGGCCAAAGATATGTGACATCAATAATGGAATAAATCATTGTTTCTTTTTGTCAATTCAGGCCGGTAATGATGCATTGTCTATTTTGATCAGTAACTTTTTGTCATCTTTCAATTAGCATCATTATCCCACTTTCATAAAAATTTGGTTTTTATTAGCAAAAAACTGAATAAAGTACAATTGGACATCATAATAATCATTGAATTGTTTACCATTGAAAGAGTTTTGTAAAGATCGAAACAAAAAGTAATTAGAAGATGCAAGGTCTTATATACTATCAATAGTCAATAACTAGAATAGAATAGAATTTTTAACGAGTGGCCAAAGATATGTGATGCCAATAATGGAATAAATCACCATTTCGATTTGTTAATTTAGGCCGCTTTTCTTCGAATGCGATGTTTAATTTCGTTAGTTATTCAATGTAGACATCAGAATTGATCGTTCGGTTGGGTGATAAGACAATTCCTTTGTAATCAACTTCCGATTGAAAACATTTGTCACCGTTTTCATCCGGTTTACAAAAATCACAAGAACGAAATTTGGCAAATCAATGTTGACACTGCCGTTTTATCAGGACTTATAAGATTCATAAGGTCACCATAAACAGTTCATAACTTTCAATGAGCTTAAGATGCCTTTTTACCTTTGCGGAAACAAAAAAAAACAAAATATGACAACAATTTTCGATATGATTATCCATCTTTCAACATACGCCAAATGAAAACTATGTAATCGAGCATAAAAAACTCTTTTTACTGAAGGACACCAAAATTGCCTACTAATAAAAGTAATTTAACATTCGGACTACGTCAGCAAACCGAAAAATTCAATTGAAATCATTTAAGATAAATACCGCATTTACTTAGTTGCCAACCTAATATTTTCGCTATATCAAAACAGGTTAAACAGTTGCATTAACATCCGCTTTAAGACGTAAAAAGTTATCGAGTGCTGATAAAATACCAAAATAAAGCACAATTTACCATCGTGTACAATAATGGTGGTACCATTTGATATACGATGTGCCGTTTGAGGGAACGATTCTGTCGCATAACAGAAAAATGTTTTGGCAAGGCCATGTTATGAAGATAATATTGACAAAAGCCCTGCGGTTGGTGTGCAGTCAGGCGAATTTCTCAGGCTGTCCGATAGAAAACATAACCTAGAAGCCGCAAAAATGTCAAAAAAAACGATCTAGGATAACATTGTGTTTCCGATACAGCTCCATAACATACGAGTGACGTTGCAGTTTATGTATAAAACGCCTGAATGCACAGCAAATACATGACATTTTGACAGTATTCAGTATGATTCATTAGCATAATGTATGGAAGTCGGAGCATAACATGGCCTTGCCATAACATTTTTCTGTTATGCGGCAGAATCGGTTCCTGAATTAATTTTTAAAACGGTGTACATATTAACTTCGTCGTAATTCCAAATATCATGTTGCATTACATCGACTAATTAAGTATTTCGACTCACTTGATTATGAATTCCGGCTGTTGCGGTTGCATGCACAGGGCCATTTTATCGTAAAAGTCGATATTGCTACTGATGTGAAACTTCGGCTCGGCCGTCAAACTGAATTCACAGACGGAACGCACGAAGGAGTTATCCACGCGCAGATGGCCTAAAATCGTCGCTCCAGCACTGAAAAATAAAATAGTTTTATAATAACATTATAATGGAAACATTATAATTCAAAAATTTATTAGAATAATCCAAATTGTTTTATTGTTTTTGATTTTATAAGAGAAGATTATGAGCTAATATATGAAAAATGCGACGGTCTTAACCAAAATAGTTGGACGCTTTTTTCCGCTCGTTTCAATATACCCTTTAATAAATGTATTACACCGGGCTATTACATATTTTTTCATAATCTCATTTTTAATAGGAATCTGAACTTTCATCCTATGGGCTGTTGTGGTCGAACTTATCTTTTTCTGTCGTGTTTAGATAAAAACCCAACGGATAACGTACCTATACTTGATTATTAACTTCCCGTAGGGTAAAAGTTATTGTAATCGTCCAAAAATCGAAATTGAAAATTTTTACATTTCCTCACGTTTTGAAGGTTTCTTAAGATTTTGGCATACCTTAGAAAATATGGATGTGTGTGTATGTGTATGTATGTATGGATACGATTTTTCGACCACGTTTTCAGGCGCACGGATCATCCGATTTGAATAGTTCAAAGAACATTCGATTTCTATTGATAGAGAGATGTGCTGATTAGTTTTTGGACAAAGGCAGGTCCAGCCGTTACGGAGATACAGAGCAAAGAGTGCAGAAAATAGAAATAGAGTTTTTGAGAGAACGGCATCCGATTTAAATGATCTAAAAAAAACATTCAATTCGTAATGATGGGGAGAAGTGGTGATTAGTTTTTGGCAAAGATAGGTCCAGCCGTTTCGAAGATACGGAGCTAAATGTACAAAAAAACGGCAATTTTTGAGATAACTGAGCATCCGGTTTGAATGATTCAAAAAACTTTCTCCTTGTGTTGACGAAATAATTGCTTCAGGCGAAAGAATTTTTTTTTGTTTTTTTTTTTTAATTTAAAAAAAATATTTTTGTCAATACATAAGCTCTTATATTTTACATCTAAAAATTTAATTAACATTAATGAAAGTTACAGTATTTATAATAATCTATTTGAAAACATTTAATATTCCTTGGATATTTCATTAAGGTACCAGAAGTACCAGCAATTTGCTTTAAAGCACGATACCATACACAACTAGTTTTATTATTAAACTTGATCAAACATTTGTCATATCATATTTTATTAGATGCAGCAATGCACCAGAAGGTATATTTTCACTTAAAAACATATTTTATTGCTGTATTTCCAAGTGACAAAGGAAATCGCTACTGCTCGGTATCAAGTTATGCGTCTCCGTTATCCGATATTATTCCCAATAGAACCCCATATTAGATTGATTAAATAAATTTAGATCGATTTTGAATTTTGTTAGGTTTAAATGCAAGTATGTAAAAATAAAAGTTAGTCAATATACAAATAAAATGGTACTTCCAAAGTAGCTTCAAGAGCACCAATACATTCTTCATTACCGACTGATTATTACAATGTAGCATTAAAGTAACAAATTACTTATTTTTTCTTACTTGGTTTCAATAAGAGAATGAGCGTTTCTATTCCATAACGAAATCTGTACTTGTCCAGAAAGATCAACAGAAGTTCCTCCCACAAGAGATAGTTCAGCTATGACGCCAGTTTGTAATGGTAGAGTTTCCTGGTGGTCGTTAACAAACTGGCAGCCTAAAAATAATAACCATACAAATAATAAAAATTTGGTCATTGAAATAAATTTATGACAAATTAAGCAACTAAAACATGTGTCTAGTATCACCTGATAAGCTGGTGTCTTGTCCGAGCCAGTTCCCAGACCAAACGTGCCCCATGAGTTCACCTTGTCCAGTAAAGAATACAAATGGTCTAATGGTTACGCCATGGACAGTTATTTCCATTCCAGCAGTTGCATCTTCTTGCTCTTCCTCTTTGTCTTCGCCAGACGCCGTGGTGTCCGATACGAAACTGCCCAATCCACCGGCAAACATTCCCAACTAAAAATAATAATTTATAGATAAGTAATAGAATTGTTTCAATAGTATTAGAACTTAAGTATTAATTGATAATAAAGAAGTTTTCTATTATCAGTTTAAAAGCAGAGCATTTTGGAAATCAGGAAATTGTGTGGATATTTAGACATATTAATTTTGCTATGAAAATGTTTAATAATCAAATTTCAATCTTATTATTATATATAGTATTAAAAAGTTTCGAAAATTCATACGCCCATCTAAAATCTTTTTTTTATACTTTAGCGATATGCCCAGTAGAGTTACTAAACGTACCAGGCACAACAACATATTGCAAAACTTTCCAATCATTATCTATTCTATTTTAATTATGGCAAAACTGACCATTACATAAAATGGATGAGCATATTTCTAATTGAAATTCATGGAATAATTACTATTACTATTGAACTAAATAAGTTGTTTCAACCAATTTCTTAAAAAGTTTGTGGAAAAGTCTAAACATAGATTCCAATTATGATCTAATTAAGAACCTTTGAGCTGAATTTATTGCAACTATTAAGAATGAAACTTACACTCATAATGTTGTGTAATTTGTCTTCGCCATATTGTACATTAAATCTACAACACCACGTTTGAGCATGCCTCCATTCATTTCTTGTACAGTCGCTAACTGTGTACTTGA